TATATATGCAGTGTGTGTGTGTGATACTTGTTTATTGTCAACATTTTATTCTTAAAGATTTGCTTGTCTACAAATTTTTCTTGTCAGAAGTTTTTTTGTTTTTATTTAATTAGAATTAGAAATAAGTAAAATGAGAGGTTCTGTGTAGCAATACATTTATTAATCCAAGTTGTACTTTCTAAAATTATGCATGCATTTCCATGTGTTTGTTTTTTATTATCTTGTCATTTATTTGCTTTATTTTTGTTCCACTTACAAACCTGCATATGTATTGTTAGATTTTTTTTAAATAAAAACTAAATGTATGAACTTTGGGTTATTTCTGTTGTAGTGTTTTTAATGAATAAACACCTGAATGTCATTTGATGTGTTGTTAAAGCGAACATTTAAACTGAAAATGCAAATGGATAAAAAAGTGATAGGTGACGTGTCTTTGATGGACTTGTGACTGGACGACTTGCTGTAACTGATAGAACCATGGGTTCTGCTCTCTATCAGAAACACTTGAAGAAGAAGGTCCGGCCATCAGTTCTGGTTCTGCTGCAGGATGATGATCCAAAGCACAGCATCTAAACTTCTCCACAGCTACATGAAAAAAAAAAAACTCCATTCCAGTGATCTGAAATGATTAGCTGTGTTGGTGCCAAGTGTAGCACAACCACTTCTTTGATATAGGAGGAAAATTCCTTTTCATAATAGGTCAAGAGGGTTTGGATAGCTTTTTCCCCCTTATAATAAATAAAAATATCACTTAAAAACTGCACTAACTCTTTTAAATGTTTGTGTTGTCTGCCGTCTGTCAGCTGTTGTTACATCCTGAGTTTAACAGAAAATAATCAGTTGTCTTTGTGGAAATATGACCCCAATTCTACTGAAGTTGGTACGTTGTGTAAAACAAATAAAAACAGAATACAATGATTTGCAAATTCTTTCACACATATTCAATCAAATACACTATAAACACAAGGTATTTAATATTCAAATGGATAAATTTGAAAGCTACATTGAGATTTTGGAGCAACATCCAAGCCACGTCTTTTTCAGCGACGTCCTGCTTATTTCAGCAAGACAACGCCAAGACACATTCTGCACGTGTTACCACGTGGCTTCATTGGAAATGAATGTAGGTTCTAGACTGAACTGTCTGCAGTCCAAACCTGTCTCCCACTGAAAATGTGTGACACATTATGAAGCACAAAATACGACAACAGACACCCCAAACTGTTGAGCAACTGAAGTTGTTCATCAAACAAGAGTAGGAAAGAATTCCACCTGCAAACCTTCAACAACTCCTCAGTTCACAGAGTTGTTAAAAGGAAAACTGATGGAACAGAGGTAAACATGTCCCTGTTCCAGCTTTTTGGAACATGTTGCAGGCATCAAAATGTGTGAATA